GCTATCAGGCAAGTGAAATGAAAAACATGTACCATATATATGAGTGTAATATATAATGTGTAAATGCGACTTTCCATAGAATATCGAGCTCAAGTCCATGAATTCATTAAACGTAAATAACTGCGCGGATCAGTCATCCCTGCGGGATCTTCCGGTCGATAAATTAATTTATCACATACTGGCATTAAGGAATTTCACGCATTAAATAAGATACGTGTCTATAGTTTCGTCATTCTAAACATGAAACATTGTTTAAGTCTTGTTGGAGTTTATAAATATCACAACAAATATATAATAACTACAAGTTTGGCAAAATCGCAAACAGTAATTAATCAATCAGGAAGAATCAATATCATTATTATGTTTAAAAACGAGATTCATTCACAGTTGCAAATTTGAAATTTTTTAAATGTTTTAACTATTTTATCTTGATATAATTAGATGGTGATGTAATAAATCGGAATATGCAGCATCCTGTACGGATTCTGTTTCAATAACGCAGCAACGATTATGCTCGTGCATTGACAGTGTCAAGATTAGCTGAAAGTTTAGTTAGAACCTTAAATGAAAAAGATTCAACTGTGTCTGTTTTATGTAAACGACCAGCTGAATGGACCGTTCGCATCTGCGGATTATCATTTGAGATGTTTACATTATTGCATTTCTCTCGTTTTGCAGACGCGCCTTCCGACATTATCTTATGTCTTCGAAATAAACTCATTTCGCACACTCGTGAAGAGTATACAAGTTTTTAAGAACACGTGGTTTTTGCATATAATTAAGTAAGAGTATTTCACTCCATTTAGAAACAATTTTCTTTTAGTCTCTCTTAAATTTTCATTATTCAAAAATTATATAACATTATTTTTGAAAGAGAGACTGGTTATACAGTTAAATATTAATTTTTTAATTATTTTAAATTGAAAATATTTCGGAAATTCGATGTTTTAATAAGAAATATTTAATAATTTGTTTGTACATAAAAATTTGTAATATCTAACTAACTAATTCATAAAGTAATATTTCACACAATTCTAACACAGATATTTCTTTCCTTTTATATGTCAATTATTTTTGAAAACGCTCTTCTCAGCTTCAAGAAAAATACATGGCAGCATCTTTCATGAAAAAAATTTCATCATTCATATATTTTCTGTACTTAGTATACAGTAAATGTTAATATTATTTACATTGATTCAATCAATTTTACTGGACTTTATATTAATCTAACAGAAAGGTGTTGCAATCTTAATTATTTTAGAAAAAAATAAAATTATATTTTCTTTCATTTTTTGTGTATGATTTTCTTTTAATTATATTTTTAGTATTATTTTTAATAGATATTTACTGTTCTACTAGCTACACTGTTGCTATGATCGTTGATTTATTTTGTTATCAACGAGACGAATTTAAAAGTTAAATTGTATTGACGTTGACGTGTATTCGATAAGCGCGCATTCGTTAAGCGGATATTTAAGTATACTAGCATTGACTATGTTTAAGTGAATTTATGAATTGGCCACGGTCAAGTATGTATGTATTTTTTTTAATATGAGACTGTACGAGACAGTCACTGTCGATAGCAATTTTTTTATGTGTCTCGATAATATCGTGCAATGACCGGGCCATTCTTCTGAAGGTTTTTCTAATAATAGCGCATATCAGTGCGGTGAAAACTGATTAAAAAAAATCGCTCGATATGGCGTCAGCCAGGATGTCCCATTAACAAATTAGCACGGCACGTCATATAGATAAAAACATCACTACGTCTACATTCGCGTCTTATCTGCATTCGTTTGGTTATAAAAGACTATAACCAGTTTCTCTTTCAAAAATAATGTTACATTTATATTCGAATAATGAAAGTTTAAGAAAGACTAAAAGAAAGTTGTTTCTAAACGGAGGGAAATACTGTTATTTAATTATCAAATTATTACCAAATAAATTGTTAAGATCTTAAAAATAAAACGTAAATAAAATCAATTTAAAAAAGAAAGAATTAATAATTATTTATAATACAATTATTTTGGTATTTTGACATTAAAATCGTGGAACTGTTACTTTAAATAAAAATTTGCGAATCCCTTTTAATTTTGGCAAAATCGTAAGATTAAATTTTTGTATGTGCCCTGACATATATTACGTAAGGTATAGTGACAGAATGTGATTTATTTTAAGTGAACAGGCATTTGTTGTAATTCACGTAGCAAGTATAAAATATGAGAGGCCAACAGCAGCGAGAATAGTTTCTACCTGTAATTCATAGGGTTTATCACACGAGTTATGCTTTCCGTAGAAAAAAATTGTTTTGATAAATTATATCGCATTAGTCCGAGCGTACTGGATACTATGTTACGTTTATTACGCACATTTGAGATTTGCGTGCCGGACGGCTCCCTCGTACTTTCTCCGTACGTATTAAAGTATGGAAATCAATATCCCTTAGTGGATATCAGCTACTACCTACTTGTACATAAATACGATCAAGTGTCTGTCGTGTAACGAGTTATCGAAGTTCTCGGCCGATCGAAATGCGATAATGAGAAGATATGCAACTCAATTATCGAATTAAAAATCGATGTAAAGTGCCTGACTTGCGCTACATATTACAAAAAATATTTAAAAAATAATAGTGAGAAATATTTTTTTAACTAGGCAAGGTACAATGATAAATTAGAATCAAAAATTTCAATAATCTCAAATAAAGCGACATACGGACCAAAACAAAAAGATATTTTGAAAATTAGTGGTTAAATTAAGATTAAGATTTTACTTTTTATTATCTTTACGCATTTATTTGTTTTGAAAATTAAAAATAATTATAAAAAATAACATTTCATTACTTTGAATTTTTTAAATAAAAAATAAAATGTCAAATCAAATTTTCTACGTCAAAATTCAAAACTGACGTATCCCAGACAGCATACATGTTTAAAATCGAGATATAAGACATCTTAAAGACGTCCAATTTTGAATATGTGCATGTTTTGGAATTTTACAATTTATTTCGAACAGTATTTATCTCTAAAACCATTTTTATATCTTTGTGATAATTGGATATATTTGGAGATATAATATCCACGTTCAATGTCTTTTTACTTCTCGCTATTCGATCGTGATAGGCGTCGCGAGTTTATATCGCGGGCAACGTAATCACTGTTATTTCGTCGTGAACGGTAATGCTCCGGCTTAAAGCCGCTCTACTTATACGCATTATCTCTCGGCAAAGGCAATACACGGAGAGTGAGGTAGAACGAGAGAGCCCGGTCTGCGGGCAATCATCGGTTTCAAGCGTCATTATGAAATTGCTTTGGCAAATGAAATGCGCGGTTATGCGCGCGCATACGCTCAAATGGAGATTTATTGGAAAATCGAAAATACGTTTTCCCGCTCCTCCTGTCTCTCCTCCGCCCACGTAACGGGGCCCAACGTTCTGGTGCATCCGTGAAGCTGTATATCGCCCACGCGATGCATCGGCTTACACGAGACGGCCGCGTGCATGCAATTACCTACGCGCGGGCAGAGATTCAAGGGAGGACTCGGGGAATCGTTTCACGCCGGGGGTCAAAATCGCTTTGTTTTTTCGTCCGCGCGTACTCTCTTTCATCATGTGTCGAAAAAAGCATCGAAAGATAGAAGACAAGTGGAAACGCTCCAAGGAAACCACTAATTTACTGCAGTTCAAGAACTGTAGCGTTTATACAGTTTTTTTCCTGGTGAAAATTTGCTTTTTAACTGGAGATTTTTAGAATTACAATAGACACACACACGTACACGCATATTATTTGAAAGATTCCTATTGAGTATTCATATCTTCATTTAAGTGCTACACGATAAAATTCATACAACAATCTTCGCGACAATCACGACACAGCGACAGATGTGCTTGACACACAAATCGGCGATCGATCTTAGGACCCACACTGCGATAATCTCACTGGCACGGTACCGGCCATCAAGCCACCTTTATGTGGCGCATTAACTGAAATCGCGCCACTGTCTACGGCGAAGCGAGATCGAGATCGCGAAGGCGATTGATCGCGACGAGATAAAGGGCGACTCGGTCCCGCTTCTCATCGTCAATACATCTCGCGGAACTCGTCGGACTCCATGATCGATCGATCAGGCAGCGGGTGCTTTCAATTAGTCGGCGGAGTTAATTAATTTGACTCGATCGCAATTTACATAATTAGACACGCCGAGTGCGCTCTTCAGCTCGAAAGCGCCGTAATTGCCGCGTCGAATGCGCACGCTTATGCCGGCAGCAACTACGAATGATTACTGAGAGATGCTTACTACCTTCCTGCTTCTGGTAGCATGAAACTCTACTCGACGAATGGATCAAAGTGCGCTGATTGAAACGCACGAAACCGCGGCGCAACCCGCGTATCTATAATAAGACGGTGCAGCGGTTAAGTTCGACGAATTGACAGAGCAATCCCTGCAAGTTATCGTTAATACTATAGCGGCACTTCCTAGGCTACATCGTATACGCTTCTATTATACTAACGCAGCTAAATTTATGCAAACTACGGATATACGGCATGTTCTGTACGGTATTTTACCCTCTAATCAATTGTGCTTCATAATTTAAAAGATAATCACTAACAAAGAAAGGTATTCGACGTTAAAAATTTAAAAAAAAAAGGCGTAAAAGACATTTTGTCAGATATTAAAAAAAAGCGCTATTAGAATTTATTGTCAATTTTGATATCCAACGTATATACGAGTCAACCTTTAATTTTATCGATTACGTATGTCTTGAAAATTGTTATTAAAGTCAAAGACAAGATGCGCACATGTCATTCATTTTCCTCCTTATGCTGCACATCTATCGAGAGGGAAGAAAGAAAGAAACGGAAGAAAGAAAATGGGAAATGTCGCCAACACTAACAGATCTGATTCCCGTCATTCGTCGCCTGTCAACTCGTCGATTTTCATAAAATACTCCACTCCATTTGTCACAAAGCGCGGACGTGCGATAACGTTTGAGAGCTTACCTGCTGACGAAAGACGACAATTCCTACGACGTGAGCTGCCCGTTCAGAGTCAGATTTCCGCGGTCGAATTTTCTCCGACGTGTCTCCCGAAGGGGGCTCGGTGATTCCCCTTCGACAAAGGGCAAGTCCGAAGCGAACACTCTCTTCTCGCGTCCGCATGGTAGAGCTCGTAGAAACGTGCCCGGCTGTGATGCGTACCTGGAACTTTTCAAGATATACTTCCGCATAAAGAGCTTTTCACGCTGACAATGCGACGCGGTCGACACAATGAGATCGGTATACTGTGTCTGAAGGGGGCGGATGTTGCATCGTATATAAACCGCGGCATTAAAACGTCTGTAAGGCTCCATGGAAAAATGGGGCGAGAGGCGCGAAAGGTCGATTCATGGCGCAGTTGAATAGAGAATTGTATAGCCATAAACAGAGTAGCGCGAAATTACTCTTTATAACGACGGGATTAATAAAAAAAAACCTCATACGTGTGAATGATAAAATATTACGACAAATGAGAAAGAGCGGCTGAAACTTTACGTAAATGCCTTAAATGTAAATTTTACGTCCTCTTCCAAAGACAATATAATCGTGCACAGTTTGAAATATTGATAACTGAAGAGATTTTGACGAAATTTTTAAAAAATTATTGGAAAAAATAATACTTTAATTATAAAAGAGTCGAAAATATATGTGGCGTTATTTCTTCTTTCAAATTTAATTCTACTTTATATCAGAAAAATAACTCATAAAATTTCGATCAATTTATTAAAGAGATGCACGTGTAACCTGTTGATGTATTAAAATTGTAAGCCAAATCGCAAAAACTGGATCACTTGGCAGTGATCACATTTCAAATATTTTTTAATTCCGTGCATTTGATTTCTCTTGGAAATTATGTGAATAGTTTTATAATTTGCAAACTTTCACGAGAACCATTCAGAGAGAAACACAACATAACTGGCAATGAGATTAATTTTATTTACGTTTTCAAATCTCGTGTGACTGTTTCAACTCTATAGATTTTTTACGTTTTCCTCTGTATTCTAAGATCTTCTCCCGAACTTCGGTCGGACCACAAAGCGCAGCCATGCTCGCAGCGTCGTAATATTTTTCGGTACCGCACGTTTTTATCACCCGACTGCGAGCGCAATGAAATATCGACGACGTAACGTAAGCATGCACATAAGTTACTGCGTACGCCCTGGCGGTAATCGCGAGCCCCGCGGTCGTACGAAGAATTATTTGACAAGTAAATCGTCGCTGAGAGATGCATGTGTCACGGTCAAAGGCCGCATCCCGGCCGTTTCTAGATTCAACCGATTCGCAGTTGAAAACAAAAAAAAGCATTTTGCACGCACGGTCTAGCTTAGTATTTCTTCATTATATCCTTATAGGCCCATCTACATAATTAGTTGCAAACGCGGACGTTTCTCTCTTTCTTTTCTTTTTTTTTACGTTTCCTTCTTTTTTTCCTCCACGTTTGCGTTGTGCGTTTGCGACTTATGTAGATGAGGCTTATTGGTGAAATTGTGTTAAAATTCGAAACAACCAAAATACGATACCAGAATTTATAAAATGTTCAGCTAAGTACGTTTTACGCACAGTAGTACAGACGATTGTACATCACGCTGTGTAATAAGAAAAAGTTATGCAAACCAATCGATAATAAGTCGGCCGGCGCTATGACACGCTCATGTTGAATCGATGGACGATTGAGCGCAATTCTATAGGATGGGAGTGCCGGTTCAGAACTCTTGCAACGGAAAAGGCGCATCCTGTACCTTGTCAACTGACAGTTGAAAATATACCGGGTGCCCGATAGACTACGAGGACTTTTCTCGTGCGATAATGTTAGCCCTATCTTAACTCATTTCTTAAAAAATACTAACAGAAAAAAATTAAGTTCAGATTATGATACGTGCAAAAAAATGATAAACAAATTATTAAATTTAAGACTTTTATATATATATAATGATTAACTAAGTTATATTAAAAAATTATATGCTGTTTTTCGTCCTCGGTGTATAAAAATACATTATTTTGTCTTTCTTCGATTATATATACAAGAGAATTATGTGCCCTATAGCTCAAGTAAATCCTAATATAAAAAATTAAAGAGATCTAGCCACGCTCTTTGTTCCGCGTTAATAATAGCTGCCTTTTTCTCGGGATTCTCTGTGTGTGCTTGAATAATTAAAGAGAGAAATAATTAAAAAGGAAGAAAGTTCCCTTTGCTTCGATGTGTTCTCTGCACAACGCTCTCGCATATTGTTGGAGACGTTTAATTCTAATAAAAACGTGCATTAACCAATTTAGCGATAATTCAATTACTAATTATAATAATAAAGTAATATTTCTCAATTTATCTGTTGTCCAATAAAATAGCAATTAACAGTATCACAACAACATTTGTGTAAAATATTAAATTAATCGTATATAGATTGAGAAATTTTTAGTAAATATTTTTAATTAGTAAACAGAAATATCTCAAAAATTTAATTAGATCTAAAAATAATTTTGTTGGATTATCAAAGTAATTACGTAGAACGTTCAAACTGATCGTTAGAATGTCAATATTTTTTGCAGTACTGCTTATTAATGCTTGAGTTTCCTACAAAATTATTTTCAGATCCGCCTATCTATTTAAATTTTTAAATACTTTAGAAAAGTCGTTCTTCCCGTGCAGCATCGATTGCACACATACATACACACACCATATCGTGTTTAATCGATGTCGTAACGAGACATACGTGATAATATATTCGGTGATGCGTGTACGCGCGTTCGAGGAACGGTCGCGTGTACGTTCCACGTGACATAGCAAATAGGTCACAGCGATTCCATCACGAGCGCAGATAAAAAATGTATATCCACCCACGGGATAAGTCCAGTCTAACTAGTGCCTAAGCGCGCCCTTCGTACGGCAAGTACATGCACCGTTTTCCCATGTAACCAAACCCCGATGATATCGTATTAACTCGCTCATTAAATAGATTACGAGTAGCATAGGGATAGTACGTTATACGTTACTTGACAATCGACCGATACCGATACGACTCTTGTATTAACGCAACTACGCGAGACTTATAACAAGTGGAATGGGAGACGGGAAGTTTGTCAATAGGTGGACGATAAGCTATTATACCTTGAGGCATTTATGTAAAACCGTAATATTGGAAATAACTTGTTTCTCGGTAACTTTTAAAAAGATATGTCTCAAACATATTCCCATGTTTGATAAAGGAAATATATTTCCAAACTATCGAACTACGATAGCTTGGAAAATTTTCGTTTTTCACTATTTTTTTTTTTTAATTATAAAAGCTTAATGTCGGTTGTTCAAGTTCTAGTTAAATCTCAAATAATGTAATCCAAAATGTACCGAAATCAAGTCGGGACAGGTCTCGCGTGGGCTCGAAATCAGACAACCACCGTGAGACGATGACGTCATGGATGCACGCGTATTCGTGCGTCTGTTACACGCGACGTGTCAACGGGGTCACGGCAGTTCGATTACCGTCGAGATGGAGGCGAGATCAATCCTGCCGATGGGGTAGGTCGGCACCACGGGGCGCATTCGATAGAAAGATCTCTCCAGGGGAGAAGTCGGAGGACACGACACGGAGAAACTGAGGGAGTGGTTTTAATGCATGATCGAGGCTCATTGTTACTGTGGCTTAGTCGCGGCATTTTTACCCGGAAAAAATAGTTTTGCTAAAGTGTCTAAAAATTTGAAATATAGATACAGATCTGAAAATAATTATGTAGGACGCTCAAGCATGAAAAATGAACAATGCTGCAAAAAATTTTGGCATACTAGCAACCAGCTTAAACATTTTACATAATTATTTTCAGAATTTTACACGAATTATTGTATATCTAATAAATTCAAGTATAGACAGATAAAGATCTGTTCAATTTCTAGAATATAATTTACGCAAGAAACAATCTTAATAAATAATAATTTCGGTAGTTGCAATAAAATATTACAATCTCAATTAAAACTTTTATAAAATTAAAATCGGATAAATATGTTACGTGAAGAGATTATGTTCACATAATGTATCTAGAAATGTCATTCTAAAATTCTAAACAAAGCGATTGCGAATATGTTCACTTTGCCTTCAGTTTAATCGTCAGTTAATAAAATTAAATCATCGAATGTATACTTTAGCAATACAGTATAAATTTGAATAAAAGGCAATTTTTGCATATAATAAACTTCGACGTTTCTCGCGATTTAAATTCAAACGGCAGTAAAATTCGAAAAAAATTCATCATTTAGGATGATTAAAACCGCGTACCTCAGCTAGCTTTTCGGAGACTAAACCGCGTCCAACATTCTATCAAATAAAAAGTGGAAAAATTCAATGAGATTATAGACCGATTGTTATTATAATAACGTGAAGATCAAGTGTAGAGATAATTTCAGTAAAGTCAAAATCTATTCAATTTCAAAGAGGTTCATATTTCATATGTTTCATCCTAATAATTTATAATTCCGTTTATCCCGTATAACAATAACAATCGTTCTTCACTCAACTGTGAGCTTGGAAATTTGTCGGACGGGCGTTTTGTACCTTTCGGGATCGCGTGTTGTCATCAAACAGCCGAGGATATATCCCGTTGTCCCGTCGCTCGAAGGCACTGGTACTTCTAATACTGCTGCGCCCTTCGGCTTCGGCAGCCCATGAGGTATTGTAAACCCCAGAATAGGTCAATCAGTGAACACGTTCTCGCTAATAGGCCGATTGAAGCAAGCCAGCTTTGACAGGCATCCAGCGAAGAGATCCCATCGAGGCGTAAAATATTTTAACCCGCCTCTGAAACATATATTCGAATTCGATATCTCACACTCGAAAGATTTATTTGAAACATTTACTTTTGACACTTATATCCCGACAATTATATTTCTGATTGAAAAAAAAACGCGGCAGCCATATATATTTTACCTTTGTTGTCGCTATCTGTTTCTTTTTCTTTTTACTTTGATATCGCCGCAATATTCGAGGTTAAAAATCTACGGAGGTTGAATTAACGGCAAAATTGCAGTTTTCAGAAACGAAAACCGTGATAATCATATTGTAGATAGTACTTATATTTTACGTACTTTTTACGACGCAGAATTTCTAGCGGATACGTTATTTGGTCACTCGCAATAACGATAATCAAAATCATAAAGCTCCAGACGCTCCAGTTAGTCCAGCTCTCGCTCTGCCAGAGTACGCCACTCGATAGTACGTACACTCACACTGTCGGAAACCTTCGGCGATTTTCGCCGGCGGAGCTCGTCGGACGTCGATTGCATCATCATTGCGTGCAAAGAGGTTATGTGTCGACGTGATTCGGTTGCGCGCGCGCATCGTGCGTACTTAACCTTAAATTCTACGTTGTGAATTCGTTCGGACACCTGCAATGTGAAAACATGTTTGGCAAATTGATGTCGGGCATATTTCAATCCCTGCCGTAAATATCAAATTTTCTTTCTACTCTCGATCTGTAAAATTAATATTTTTTTGCAGTGTTCTACGCGTATTGTCAATTCTCAACACGTTCGCCGTCGTGTGTATTCTCTAATTTTCCGTTCACGTTAAATGCATTATTTTGTAAGCAAAGAAAAAAACCAATGAAATTAAACAAGTATGATTATATGTTATACACACATAATTGTCGTCAATAATGATCAGTGTGACACAAGTGGAAAACTCAATGTCGGTCATTGATAATCATGACAGTAAACGTGTTGATGGATTAAGAATTAAAAACGTTTGATATTAAAAAAATGCAAAATTTGTTTTTTTTTTTCGATTAAAATCTACTATTTGCAATAATCTGAAATATAACGCAACAATTAAGTATTAACAAAATATAAATACATTATGTAACATAGCATTTGTTAATATCTGCAGACGGGCCTCGAACCAACTTTCGCCAATAGTGCCTGCGACGCCTGTGGTGTGGAGTCCATGGAATCTAACATTTGTCAGAAACAGAATGAGATATCACTTTCCTCATCCCAGTGAAACGAAACGCATAAAGAGACATGGGTGGTTTGCACGACTGGCAACACCGAATGGTAGGAAAATTCTCCAAAGAAGAATCTTGAAGGGCAAACATGTGCTGTCTCATTAATAATTGTCCATCCGATTGATCGAATGTATTTGAAAATATATACTAAGTAATTAAATATTGTCAATTTAATTAAAGTCCTTTTTATTACAATTGTAATATTCAGCGAAAAATGGGTGTGAGGTTAATTAACATTACGTGTGCTTCATAGAAGCTAACTCTTCTACATTATCCGTAACAGAGTCCTCTGCTTCAGCCGGCAACTTAAACTTAAGCTGCTTGCAGGTCCAATAGAACGGATCGATCAGAGGTGCTTCTATTGTTATATCTTTTTGCTCTTTGCCATAGATTAGGTGCACACTTCTCAGATGTATGTGTGCCGGAATAATTTCTTGTTTACTTGGCGCCACGTTTAACAGATCTAGCAGCTGTTTATTTACCTTTGGCAAATCCCAACAGGAATCGGCGAATGGATCGACTTTCAACCATGTACCCATGAGTTCTTGGATTCGCGATCCGTGAATATTATCCCCGAGAATCGGGGCATACAGCATAGTGGAAGCGAACAACCTAACGCCATTCCACTTTCTCGCGGACGCCTGGATTTCTATTAGCGAACTCAAGTTGTGTGTCGAATTGGTTAAGACTTTATGATCTATGTTCATTATCTTGACTTCATTCCTCTTCACCGCGTTGTTACTCCACTGAGTCAACATAATAGGCTGAAATGCACATGTAATTATTTCAGAGTGAATATTAATTACTTTGTATATAGGGAACATATACATGGAGACAGATATACCTTTTTCTCTCCTAATACAGACTTTTTTAGAGTCATTGCCAAACGATAATTTCCTTTGATCTCATTTGGAACTCTGATCGTGACTACCCAATATTTCCTATATTTACCCTGAGTTCGGTGTCTCGCAGTTTTTAACTGTTCGACTATTTTTTCGTTAATTCCAAAAATATATACACCACTCATATACCTAAAAATAATCTGTAGTTAAATTTAAAATATATTTTTTTAAAGGAAAGAAAAGAAAAGAAGATTGAAGGATGATGTACATTTCTGATCCTAGGCATGGTATTAAATCCGGTACGTTTAATTCTGATTTAAGATATGGCAAAGCATCTGTTACAGTATAATCTAACGCTCCTACAATCTTGTGAGTTTGTTTTCGTACATTTGGTGAAATTCGTTGTTGGATCTTACCAGGCAATAAGGGTATACCATATGGTTTGTTTATTGCAATTATTCCATCTGTAAAAAAAAAGTACAGATTAATTTGAATAAATATTGAAATATATATCATATTTATCAGTACAACAAATATATATACATACAGACATTTTACTTCTAATAAATATTACTTATATAACTTAACAATATTTTTCAATATAACTAAAAATTTTGTATTACAAATATAATTACTTGTAAATATTGTGTATAAAAAATTTAAAGTAATTAATATAATTAATCCTATTAAATTCTTATGCAACAAGAAAAAACTAACTCTAATGATAAAAGAAAATAACCACGCTAAAATAATCTACGCAAGCGATTGTGGCCTAATGTTTTTTAAATTATAATATTAATGGTCATTACAAAGAAAATAAACATCACTTAATAGCTGCAATAATGCTGAAATTACATCAAAAAGCAGGGTTCATTAACTTTTACAAAATTGACCGAGCAGTACAAACAATATGAGTATAATAAAAATATAATATAAATTATCAATTTTATAATAATGAAAATTTTAAAAGCTTAATAAAAAGTTTAATTTTATTAGAAGATGCAAGTTATTAAATCAATCCTGAACGTATAAGAATGATTTTTCCACCTTTATTGTAAATAATGTTTTTCAGCAAATCTTTCGCAAATTCGTCCTCCGATTTCCACGGGTGAATTCGACAGTACGGATGGACCACCTTCTCCTTTGTCGTCGTGTAATTTTCTGTGGTATTATATTTTCTGTAGCAGGTGCGAAACGCCGCGGCAAACTCGCTGATCCGTATATTTCTAAATATCGTCATCGCGCCTTTCATCTCTTCCCGATCTCAGATTTGCGTGCGAGACGTCCCTTTTACAAATCTCCTCAACAGACTCCTCGCTCTTCAATTTGAGGTTAAACTCGACGCGGCTGTACGTTAATAACTGGAGAAACAAGACGACACGGACTTGATTATTTAAGAATGAACAATAGGTTCATTTATTACTTAGTTTCGATAAATTCGGGACAACTGTAAGCTTCCTTTTATAAAATTCAATGATTAATTTATCGCGAACACACGCGGACGCGGTGCGCCGATGTTGTTAACAAGATGTAAGATAGTAGTACTCACAGCCCACAGATGACACAGATTGACAGATGCTTAGGTACCTAATTTACCCAAGAATGGTAAGAATCTCAAGATACTCATGTGAGAAAGAAAATAGACATGCCAGCTGCATTTTAATGATTTTAATCCTTTCATTCCCAAATTATTTAACGGTTGCAAAAAATATTTACATTTTTGTTTATAAGACAAATAAACAAAATAATTTACAAAAATTCATTTTGACATTGTGAAAATATATTTAAGAACTTTATTCTTTATTTATATGTACTTATTTTTATTGTAAACTGATGTGAACATTTTAATTGCAGTAATTTGCATTGTAAAGTTATTATACGTGATAAAAACCTTCTTATTTATAACTTTGTCTACCTAAAATATTTAAAGAACGTTAAAATTCTGAAAATTCTTATTGTATGTCTCTACTTTAATTATAATAATATTCGAGGTTAACTTTTATCATCGAACTGTAACGGTATAACAATATAAACAAAAGACGATACCTGCAGGTATCAAAAAGTTTTTAAATTATATACATATCGAACATCATCAAACTACTACTGCTATTTACAAGCATAAATTGTCTCTGCAACCATCTATACATTATAAAATCAGTATATATATTCACATGAAAATATAGACGGTCGTAGTTTTTATTTCATAATTCATAACACCAGTACATGCAAAAGGCTCGAGAGAGAAATTATAGAGAGAGACAGTCAATATCGGCGTAGTACTGGATAGAGTTAATATGTGACCGTACTATTATAAAAACCGACAATTCTTCTGGTAAGTTGCATAACTGTCAAAATCTATGGATGGTTAGTTGAAACAATATTAATTTTATGATTTATTATTATTCTAAAATTTTGTAGACGTATTGTATATATGTATAAGTCGACTTTAATAGTATATATTTGACGGTGACTACCTTGAAAAATTCATGGTCGATTGTCAATAACACGACGATTACGATCATATACCGGCTGTGAATATGACAAATACATACTTTGTATATATGTGTATATATGTATATGTATAGTGCAATGTGGTGCAATGTGGAATCATCGCGAACGAGCCACGTTTTGCGGCGCTCGCGACGCACGCGGCTCACGGCTGTGTGCTCAGTGCTATGTTCAGTTGGTTCAGCAGAGGCGGTAGTTTGGTAGTAGCCATCGCGCAGCGAATGTGACTTGTAGTATTTTTGGCCAGTGCCCAGCCCATTCGTTCGTCTCTCACGTCTCTTTCAGTTCCGATCGATCGAGAGCCGTCGTGTTCTCCGCGCGATTCCACGAACACCCCGGTAGAGCAGCGTGAACTCCGGCTCCGCTCTCGTCGACGACGCCAGGCGAGGCAACCAGGAGGTGGCAACGACGTCAGGAGAGAGCACCAGACGGCCGGCTCTGTCCTTATCTCTATCTCTCGCTCTCCTCTTCTCGCGCGCGCGAGCGAAGCCACATCGCCACAAACTCGACTCTCGGTCGGATCGGCAGCAGCGCGGAATACCCCCCCGACATCGCGCGACACGTATATCGGATTGCTCCTCGGGCAGGAAGGGCGATCCGTCTCCGTCTCTCGACTCTCGGCTCCCCCTGAGCGGAGGATTTTCACGCTAGAAAGCGGCCGTCCAGCAGGGCGATACCATCTTATATGACTTTACTTCGACAACGAGGTAAGTTTCCCTCCTCCCCCCCCCCTCGTCCCCTCCGTCTCCCGAATTCCTTGAATTTTAGCAACATGTTCAATTAAGATCCGCCGACCTGACGACGGCGGCGGCGATCCAATCGACCCCGTCGACTCGAGCGTTAATCGACAGCGTCGATCGAATCGCCAATTAATTTTTTTTTTCTTTCGATGCCATAACCTCTCTCCGCTCGTGTCACTCGTTCGCTCGCTAATTTTAGCGATCAGCCATTTTGGACACGGCACGGACGAGGCGTGCGTGCGTGCGTGCGAACGAGCGAACGAGCCACGTACGACCCCTCGCTCTCCTGCGGAAATGAGCTTGTGTTCCTCTGTCTCTCTCTCTCTCTCCGCTCTCTCTTGCAACAACGATGACGACGACTCGCGTGCGTGTCGCATTGCACGGTGCGGATCGACGTCGCCGGCGGAGGAAGCGGCGGACCTGAAGCCGGTCCTGACCCAGCAGCGGCTCCGGACCCGCGGGGTCCGAGCTTAGCGCTGAACCTGCTATTTTCAGAGAGCCGCGCTCTTAAGACTCCTAGACCCCTCGTTCGCACGCAAAAATAGGCATGCACAACGTAAGGCGCGCGAGCTTCTGCTTTCTATGGAAAATTCCGTGGCCTGTTGCGAAGATTGTGGAAAAAAAAGTCGCGGACGGGGAGAGCACGTTGTTGAGCACGAGAAAAGGGACCGTTCACGCTTTCCAGCGGGTGGAGGAGAAGAGGGGACGAATGCGAACTAGACAAACGGATCTCTTTATTCGCCCTGACCGTATATATATTTTTACTACTTCAACTAACTCACGTTTTGTGCAATTTCGTAGCTCCCGTATGTACTCTCTACATAAGAGAATAGGATGGATATATGTAGAAGGGCGGGAAGAGGAGCAACGTGTAGGAAGCACAGTGTGAAAACAAGCGGGTCTATTTTAGCGAGCACTTCTCCAACTAGCCTATCGCATCTGTATTCTGACGCGTATCCGTGGCCACAATGAGGAATTTATTTCTCTCTCTCTCTTTCTCTCCCAACGAGAGAACGAGCAATCCGTTCTATACGAGTAGAAACTGTTAGCATTTGACAAGCAGTATTTGTCAGCATTGACATTTGACATTTTGTAGTCAAATGCAAGGTATATAGCCAGCTGCATTATTACTGCACGTTGCTCATTTATTACAACTAATTGTGTCATGTATTTATTACATATTCTCCTCTCAAAAATACTGCATCGAACAGATCGAGCCATTTATAACATAATGGTTTATTAGAAGTTAGGAGTTTGTCAAGTGATATAAGAGCCCAAGTATCATTTTTTGTTTCAAATTAATATGTAAAATTTACATTTACGATAAAAAATATTATTCTGTATTTTCTAAGTTTTCAGTGTGGTCGAATTCTCATACATATTTTAAGAAGATCAAGATCCCTATATAGAGATTTTCAAAAAGTTTTTTGAATTTGTAATACTTCGTCTGCTTCCCTTGGTTCGTTGTTATTAATTACGTTGTTTTCGTAACTCGTCGTTTTAGTTCTAAAATTGTACACGTTTCGAGATAACTAAATGACTTGGCAGAATTAACTTTACGCTTTAACTGCCGTTCAAATTATAAAGATAACGGTTGAAGAACGGAACGCAACATTCCTTGCGATATTCCTGCGTTCTGCGTATTTATTTATTATTTTATATAATCTTGCGCGAAAGAGAATACTTTTTTACGTTATGATCTCTGCGATGTTCGAGAAATGTTAAACTTGTAACGAAAAAAACTAGGAACGAGCAAACGTGTCTCGCGTGACGTTTGCATTATTATACGAATTACCAATTGCTGTGTCATCTAATAACTGTTGCGAAAGATCAATCGTCGATCACGATTTATATATGTAGGTCAAAGCTAGTGATACATATCTAATTAATCACAGCATATTTTTGCTCTATTAACGTCGATAAATAAGGCAATGCTGACTGGTTGAAATTTTTTACGTGAATTTGGCTGATTTTTCAACGAATTCCATGGAAGCTTTAAACAGATATTAAAAATTAAATCCAATTTTGTAAAAATCAATCTAATTATTGCACATTATCTCTCACGATTTTTCGCCAGTACATTTCCAGTACAGTTTCTCCAATAGCAATATTAGTTCGGAGACATTCAATATGTGCTGCGATTAGATTATATAGCTGTGTAGATACACTGCAAATACCGTTGATAAAGAAAAATCGCAGATAATACATTCTTTCGGCGCGATTTTCTAGTACGTGTTGTTCAATCTCGTCACGATCAGCAATAACTCGCACGGCTCGTGTTTGTAAATACATTCCCCTGTCGACAGTACAAACTTCCTCGAGCGCAGTGTCGGGCGTCAGTCTGTGCAGGAGTTTGACTGTGGGATTCTTCGGAATTTCGAAAAGAGTCCGCTTCGGAATAAAAGGCATTGATGTCATCAGGTACCGTTTACATTTCTCTTAAGATTTGAGAATCGAAGCTTCGTTAGACTGAAAAAAAAAATTTGCATGTAAATTCGTTACAAGGAATTGGAAGACCCATTTCTCAAACGTTTCGCGACATTCTGGAAAGCAGTCCAGTTCCAGTTTTTGAAGTATTAAAAATATTCAAAGGCGATTGCATCAGGCAAGATTAACTCTTAAAAGTCTTCTTCCTTTGTCCGTGCGTGACTAGCGAATGTGTTTTTTTTTGTGCGTTTATCTGACCAAGATGGCCTGCTACTTTGACCCTTAAGTGTATACAACGTATACGGCTCTCGATAACGATGCAAAATAATACTGCTTTATCAGGCGGCAGCGGTTCTCAAACGTCGTGTTTCTCTACGTGAAATTTGCACTATCTCTCGCCGAAGAACATTTCTTCGGAACTTGTCTCGCTCTGCGGTAAAACAATTTCCGACTCTGTAAATGCCTTTGCAATTCGAAGGGGTGCACCCGAAACTCCGTTCTCTTCGACGGGAATAAAATAATCGTGTTATTATATTAGAACGTGCGCGTATGCGTGTGTGTTTGGTCACAGCGATGAAGTAACGTTACGAGTTCCATGCTCTCACTTTCTCCGAATCCGAATCGCGAGCAAAAGGCAAGTGTGCCAGAACGAGTTTCGCCGGAGGAAAGTATTTATCGAGGATCGCCGGGCCAATATAATTACGGCGCATCAAGAGCGTCTCGCGTTCCTGAACGGAGAGCTCCTAAACGGAATGTTATTTAGTTGTTAAAACTACTTGGTCGCCGAGGATCTATACATTCTCGGCTTTACATGAAATGAGCACATAAATCTTTCCGCGATGAAGAATAACAAGTTTCTTTTCGGAGGTATTTAAATGCTAGCTCAAACTCATTGCATAAAAAACTATATATATGCAAATGTCGAGACGGTGTTAGGGATTTGCCAATTCAAACGGAATTTGCATTAAGTAAATCTTCGTGTAAATGCTGCAAAGAACCTGTTTTGTATTCAAATATGTTTCAGAGGGGACATAAATATTTAATTATCAAGAATTATCAATGTAAGATTGCTATTGAAAAATTGAGATTATAAAGTTATTCGTCAAATTAACTATTCACCGCTTTCGTGTCGCGAGAGGCATGATGTTTATTACCCGATTTAATCACACGCTCGATATATAAACTGCACCGCAGTTAAAACAGAGAATCGAGTGAAACGGATGCTCAATCCAGAGACGCGATCTGGACCTGGGTCAACTCTCACCCCGACCTATCTCACGAGGTTTCTTCCTAGATCTTTCGCGCTATTCGCAAGTCGTTGACCCAGGGGGTCTCGATCGACCGCTGGGAAACTTATTTCTACGTAAATTTAGTATATAGATTTTGCCACGGGATTAATTTTTAGTCTCACACACGCACGCGCGCACGCATGGCACAAATGTGAATTCCACAATTTGTTGAGAGAGAAGCTCTCTCGATTGCAAGCCGGTTAGCCACTTGAGAGTAGAGTAGAGTGACCTTGCCCGAAGGCTGCTCTCTCCTTAGAAGAGGCGACGTCGGCATCCGGATCGGCGTCGTCGGCGCGACGATCAATATACAGCGGCGAAAGGACGCGTGCGCGCCGCGGGGGTAGGCCGACCCCGGGGTCCCGAGAGCCGTCAGACTACGAAGAGACCGAGTAACCACTCTAGTTGCGCTAGCGAGAGGCCGACCTCCTCAGCTCTCTCTCTCACACACGCTCTCTCTCTCTCTTTCTTCGGCGAGACTACCCCCTGCGCGAGAATCGATTCTCTCTCGGCGACGCGACAGACCTGCTCTACTTTTTCCACTCTTTCTCTCTCTTTCTCCACGAAAGCCTCGTCCTTTTTCGACGTATCTCTCTCTCTGCTCTGCTCTGCACGAGGGTGCCGTTGAAGAAGAGGAAGAAATCTGGATACACCTGGCGATCAACGACAGCAGCCGCGTCACCGTCGCAAATCACGACTTATGCGTCTGTACCGAGCAGGTAACCGTTTTCTGGTGCACGCACTCTTCCACGAGGGATTTACCTCCCCCGAACGATCACCACCTCGCGATTGGATTAACCGAGATTTGCTGTTAGATTATTGCTGAGTGAGTAAGTTCCGTCGCTAGGGAACGAGAGAAATTCTCTGCGGGCCCCATGCGTGAATCAAATATCAAGAATCGAGAGTAACGCACGTTTCGTAAAAGAAAAAAATCCTATTGTTAAATCGAGAAGCGGACAACATTCGCGGATTGTCATCTCAAATTAATTCTCGCGGCCCCTCTCTCAGAAATACGTGGTGCCTTTATTAAAAGGATAACGTACAATTTAGCCTGACTTAAAAAAGAGAGTTGCTGCCACGTCTTGATACACGCCTTTGAGGTGTCTTAACAGTAGCCACGAATGCGCCGCTTATAGCATGGTAAATGGAGCGCAAGAATCAATATTAATAACGCGCACAGTTATTGTAAACAACAGGCACCGGCTGCAGTCGGGTGCAGAATTACACACCACTTACACATTGCAAATTGAAACACGATCGTCCTTGTGTGCGAATCGCACTCTCGAGATATCGCGGATGCTAAATCAATAGAGAATGTCTCGAGGAATACTGTTTCTTTGCAGTATCATAAGAAGGAGACATTAATTATTCGTGATAACCGTATAAATCCCTGTGCACGAACTTTCGACCGGTCTCGCGGAATGATTATGCGCGAATAAAAACAATTCTTTGCTCCATAATCTCACGAGGAATGCTATACGAATAATCTATATTATTATAAAAAATTTATAATCTTATCTTGGCAAGTAACATTTTACGAAACGGAATCGATCGAATGAACAACGTTCGGAGAACCGTCGAGTTACGTCGCAAACATATGTTTGTGTCTGAAGCAGTAGAGCTTACTCTCTTCATTTATTATATATGTATATACCTCCGTGCAATCATACTTCGAGCGAATGTGCATTTGTTGCGACTGCATTTGTTCGATTATCGAGAGAGATCAAATCTGCTCGTCGCAATCTCGTTTCCGCAACTTCAAGGACATTCAGTCCGACCTGAGCGATCATCGCTATCATGTTCCTAATACGGCTCGTCCCGCACGAAAATCATCCGGATGATCGTTTAGCATCATAGCCAGATGAAAACGTACACCGGTCCGATGATCGTCCATGTTCGAAAATTATCCTGAATTTCATCCTCATGGTTTTGCATCTCTCGCGAATGCTTTTAGCAGACCACTAACTCGCATGGATAAGAGCAAGCCCGCAAGATTTGCCCATCTTTCTTCGCATCTGGACTACATCCGCAATCCTGCGATTGAAATGATCCCAATAGGATCGAGGTTAAAGGGAAAAACAATAAAAATAAATAATAGTCTTAATTAAAGTTGTGCAATTAAAGTTGAGCAGATGTACTCTGAGCAAACACAAATGTCTTAGTTTCAAACTTTAAATGACTTTTTAAATTAAAATTCTATTTTCTTCCTAAATTTAATATAAATTAAATTTTCTTATATGTTTAAATAAATTTGAAATAACACTCCCAGATATAAAATCTTTAATTTCTTTAAATTCCCCAAATTTGAAACAAAAAGATTTCCACTAATTGTCTTTGGTAATTCATTATCTTTAAATGTATTTCAAATATAAAATATTTAATTTATTTTAGGAGGGATAATTTATATTAAAAAAAATTAGGATTACGGAAGTTGTAATCCAACAAAAAATCGGAAATGAATAATAAATTGATTGGGACTGCTTCAAGACTTTTTTTTTGTTCTTTTTCGCAGAAACATCCAGGATATCATCCAGAGGGAAAGGATCGGCGTGTAGCAAAGGCGGCGGCGATAGTAGAACATTATTATCTGACTGGCGATCATCAAACGGCAACACCATCACCACCCACGACCGTTTGTTTTCGTGCGACGAGTTAACCGGCGAGTTAACGTCGACATCGTCGTTACCAACCTGGTACCGCAGATTGCCAGGCTTTCTTAGGGCGACCAGCAACGGACAGGCAGCGTGTATGATCATTGAGGACTACCCCCCTACCCCGCCCGCCACCGCCAAACCGAGGCAACACCCGAGGCATCAAGATACCACCCAACGATTCCTAAACCTCCACCTGGTCCTGCCTAAGCACAGGACCTCAAAATTTTCCAGGTTTGTGAGTCAGTCTGGTTAGTGTCTATTTCTTTATTTTAAATTTTGTCGGAAAAAATTTGTCTTTAAAAGCGTATCGTAATATTTTTTAAAATCTGAAATGCTAAAAAAAAGAACGCTTAAAGAAAAAATTGAAAAAAATTATTAAAATAAATTTGTTATAAAATTTTTAACTTATTGTTTTTAATTCAATCAGTGAATAAAATCACAAACATTAGTAGGGTAGTTTGAGTTACTAGCGATATTAAAGGCAAGCCTTTTCCTCTTTATAGTAATAGGCATCGGAAGCTACAGCCATTCAGAGAAACGTGACTGGCGTCAGCGGGTAGCGGCGCGGCACGCCTTACCGCTAATAAGGACTACAATCCTGAGAAGAGGAAGAACCACCCTGACTCGACACGCTGCTGTTACGAGCTACCACGAGCAGGTAGCGACCATCGCCTGCTACTGGCCACCACTGGCTACCAAACTGCCGCTGGCTGGAGACGTGCGACAGAGGGGATCTAGAAGAATCAGGACGAAGACGTTACCCACCTGAGAAAGAAGAGAGGGAAAAATCGAGAAAGAGCAGATCTCAACGTCATCCCACGAGCTGCTTAAAAGCTGATCTTTTTCGTCGCGATTCGTTAATACTTTCACAACGACGTCTCATCAGAGATCTCTGTCGATCGGAGAAGTTAAGTTTGTTAAGAGCAAGAGAAGACGGAAACATCGGTCACCATGGGGAGCTTGAACGTCAATCGCAATGTCAGCGATGCTTTTTATCGCTACAAGATGCCGCGGATCCAGGCGAAGGTGGAGGGCAAGGGAAACGGTATTAAGACAGTGATCGTCAACATGGTGGATGTGGCGAAGGCGATCGGCCGTCCGGCCACGTATCCGACCAAGTACTTTGGTTGTGAGCTGGGCGCGCAGACGCAATTTGACTTCAAGAACGAGCGTTTCATCGTCAACGGCTCGCATGACGCGACGAAGCTGCAGGACCTGCTGGATGGTTTCATTCGGAAATACGTTCTTTGCCCGGCCTGCGACAATCCGGAAACCGAGTTGATGGTCAGCTCGAAGAAAGGCACGATCTCACAGGGATGCAAGGCGTGTGGACATCATGGCCTTCTCGAGAGCAATCACAAGCTGAACACGTACATCTTGAAGAATCCGCCGAGCTTGAATCCGGCGGTGCAGGGCAGTTCGTTGACAGAGGGTAAACGTGGCAAACGCTCGAAACGCGCCAACGGCGATGCCGCGGGTACAGTCACCACCGCCACCGCCACCACCAACGGCAACGATCGATCTGGTTCGCCGGAAAATGACGTCAACAACTCTGCAGACATCGCGGTGGAACCGCCGCCAGTGAGAACGATCAATGACGACGGGGATGATCTTAAATGGGCGGTGGATGTGTCCGAGGAGGCGGTCAGAGCTCGTCTCCAAGATCTGACAGATGGTGCGAAGGGTATGACTATTAGCGATGACCTTGACAAGAGTGAAAAGGAGCGCATGGATATGTTCTACAAACTGGTCAAATGCCGTCGCGATGCCGGCCAGCTCGACAACAATCACAAGGAGATCGTGGCCGAGGCGGAGCGTCTCGAGATTAAGACCAAGGCGCCATTGATTCTTGCCGAGCTGTTGTTCGATCAGGGAATCGCCGCGCAGGCGAAGAAATATCGGGTCCTACTGTTACGCTTCACTCACGACGATATTAAGGCGCAAAAATATTTGATCAGAGGAATCGAGCAAGTGATCGCGCTGCATAAGGATGCGCTGATGCCGAAGGTTCCCGGAATCCTTAAGGTAAAAGAATAAATATTTTAGAAATTGTTTAGAAAATGTTCGGAAAGAGAGCGCGAGATAAATTGTATTAAAAATTTAATTAATAAGTATTATTCTAATATTAATACATAATTCTTGGATATCACTATTGAATTATTTAATTACTTAAAATACTTGCGTGCATTACAGTTATTTTATGATGCTGATATCCTGGAAGAGAAGGCATTTGATGAGTGGTCAAGTAAAGTCAGCAAGAAATATGTCTCAAAGGACCTGTCGCAGGAGATCCATGATCGAGCCGCGCCATTTTTAACATGGTTGAAAGTTGCAGAGGAAGAGGAATCTGAATCCGATGAAGAAGATGATGATGTGGAGGTAATCTCATTGTTCATATGAACTTTTATGAGAAATACTAATTCTTTAATTCAATTTTTTAATTCTGCTATTCTAATTCTGCTATTAATTCTCGATTAAAAATGAAAACTTATTTTATTTGTTCTTTCTTTTAGAAAAATTCTAAAAATAAGTAAATTAAAAAATGGCTTAAACTATTTTTTATTTTTTTCAAAGTAATCTTTATTGAATTTAATGTTCTGTTTATAAATTTCTCGAGAACTGTTCTTTTAGCTGCATTATTTACGCCCTTTAAACAGTTTATAAATTATTTAAAAATATATATATATATTTTTTTTATAGCTTTGTAATATATTCAACAAATTTTCCATTTTAGATCGAATACGACGACAGAGCCAAGCAGGAATCCCTGAAACAAAAGCAGCCACCGGCCACGCCAAAGCCTGCCGCTACTACCGTCGCTGCCGCCGTAAACAATGATTCCGAGGATGACTTCGATATCGATGCCATTTAAAGCATTACGCATACACCATCGTATACACGTACCATACACATAACACACACACACAGATATAGTATATACACACAAGCGCGACGGATGACAAGAAACACTGGTCCGAGCTGTAATATCCGAGAATGAATAATCATTTTTCTCTCGAACAGAATCGTGCAAATGCAATCTCAAGTTATACGCAAATAGATATAGGATTTTCGTTGTTTTAGGCTGACAAGACGTAATTAAACAATGCCGTTTACATGTGAATGAAGGGGGGGAAAAAAGGAGAAAAAGAAATTTTAACCGTTCCTAAGAGTTTAGAATGATTTATGTATGTACAGTATATTCGCAATACTTTTAATTATTTTAACAATGCAAAAACAATACGCATTTATTGAAAGATCGTTGTTTCTTTAACATTGAATCGATTGTTGTCGAAACTTTTTTAATGGTGCGCGTATATCTTGAAATGCATTCCTTTTCAGGCAAAAAAAAGACATTCATAAAGTTCATGAGCGTTTCCTGGAAATTGGCCTGCTAAAAGCGTTCTTTATTGTATTTACTTATTGTAATTATTCAAATAAATATGGTTTATTGCAATGATCACCCGATGTCTCCGCAGCTGACAGAAAAATATATTACAATTGCAAATGTAACAGCGTTAATCCGATATTTAATTTAAATTTGTCGATTGAACAAACGTTATAGTTTCAGTGACGAATTGCCAAGCATATCTATATTTTTGTGTGCTATTTACGCAAGCTCAAGTTTCTTCTTGAACGTATTTTTATTTAAAAAAAATAGAGGATAGCTAAAGAGATATCCACAAAACATTCCGATGAGAACACGCCGATATTGTGAAAGCACGAATCACCGTTCGCAAAATCTGTCCAACAGTTAGCATGCAGTCACTTGTCCAAATAAGAATATACAGCTAGAGTGAATTAATTTCATTTAATATTCGGTAAACGAGAAATATATAGTGCATCATGTATGAAAATGAGGGGAGGGGGGAGTGTCGCCTATATATAACGTATCTTGCAAAACATATATTACATATTGATTCTAGCTGTCACATCGTCCCTTCTCGACGACGATGCATTCGCGACGCTCTCATCGCGCAGTCTCGTTGAAACGCGCGGGAAAACCACCGACGTCGTCGAGCGTCACGGGTGAGATTCTCGTTGACGAACCGTCCTCCGCGACCAACGAGAAATTCATCTCGGAATATTTCCGGCCGAGAGATGTGCGCGAAGGGGGAAAGAGAGGGGTAGCGCGAGAGTGAGCGAAATTTGGCGGCAAGGCCCGATCAGCTGATTGGCGGGTGGCCGTTTGGGCGCGAAACGCTGGCACGGGAGGCCAATCGCGGACGCGGTCGAGATAATTTCACCCGCGTATTCCGCCGCGTAAGGCAGTCAGTGTCCTCTGCCCCGTTCGTCGGAACGGTTCCTGGCGTCACCTCGTTACCGCCGTCATCGTTCGTTGTCGTCCTCGCCCACCGCCGCCGCCGTCGTCGTCGTCGTCATCGTCGTGGCGGTTGATCAGCTGAATCGTCGAGTCCAGTTGAAGAGTCGTGAGCCGTGAACGTCCGCGAGCCCTTCCCGTTAACGATGGCACTGCACGAATCCACGAAAGAGAACGTCCGCAAGCACCTCGAGGACGTGTCGTTACACGTAAGTCCGTTAGTCTTCCTCGCCTTCTTCCTCGGGCCATAACTCTCTCCATCATCGCACCACCTCTTTCTGTCTCTCTATTCTTCCAGATCGATTTCATTTCATTATCGGAGTTTTGCCCGCCCGCAATTCGCGTATCTTCGTTATCGCCAAATCACGCGAGTGGAAAAATTCATCGAGTTGGATCCGCACCCTTCGGCTTCCTACGCACGCACACGGTCTACGCCCTATATGCGCTTTTAAGACGCGAGAAACGGCTGCCTTTCTTTAAAATGGAACGAGCAATGCGGTAGATGAGATCTCCTGATGATAACTGGAGTAAAATAATTGTGACATATGTATACTTATATTTATGGGCATACGACATATAAAAACACTGGTCAATTCGGAGTAAACGTTGCTTTTAAGAAAAATGTCTAGGAATTGAAACTGAATTTATAACTCGTCATCGAAAAATTCTCGCGTGTTTATACTTTAGATGTGTCTCTTAAATTCCGCGAATAGAATCGTAACGCCGAGAAGATTTCTGTATCGCATTTCTTCCTTCTTCATTAGACGGAGCTAAACTGCAGCAGTAGACTCTTGATTTGTTTTCCCGTCAGCTGTTATATGTTCAGACGTGTCCTGTGCGAAAACATAAATCCGCCGTTCATTAATGTGATTGCGGAGCACGTGGCGTTTCGGAAGATTCGCTAATGCGATGGCAAGCTCGCGTTTCGAAAAACAAATTAAATCATTTATAGCGATGTGATAGTCACGTTAAAAGGCTTGGTCGAGGCACGACTCATCCTCCCTGGTCTCACGCGCTGACGCGTGCATTTAAATGCACAGGCTTGTGTGCGTATCTTGCATTAGCTATATATATATACATGAAGCAGCTGTATATATATGTATCTCCTCGCGTTGCCTCGCGTGTTCAATATAGAACTTAGAATGTCCAGTGTCTTTCGTCAGAATGTCTTATCATTAAATATATTTGCGATTTTATATTCGATGTTATCGTCGTCGATAACCTGAAAAGATGAATAAGGAGGTAAAGGATTTCCTGCATTTTTGTCTCGCTGTGACAGAATTCTCCCGCCCATTTTGATACTCCTCTAGGTTATGTTTTTTTTTTGCCAATCTCCATAAATATTTCTCACTCGTTGAATGTATAAAAAAATATATTAATTTATGTATGAAGGAACAGTTATGCGTGCAAGATAAATTTGGTAAATCATTTTAGGATTTTCTCCCGAATTCTTCTGACAAATTTAGATACTTGGATTAGTTTTAACAGATTGCGCAATTAAAAATCTACATGATATATCTAAATAAACTGAACGCATTTGAATGAAAGAATTTCTCAATGCATCTCAGTGTATTGCAGAATTTTTTAATCATTGATGTCTCTTGTTATTATATTAAAAATATTTTATATTGAAATAATCTGTTTAGAAATATTAATTTTATTTATTGCACAAGATTATGCAATCCTGTTCTCTTATATATGCATAGATTTTCTTCGAATGAGTAACGCTGAGCTGTTCGATCAATTACAGAAAAGAATTATAATTTATATAACAATGCATGTACATAATTTAGAATATATTTACGTTGACAATTTTTGAGTAATTCATTACTCAAATTAACATTTTTTTTTTCTTGCAGACATCACCAAAGAAATCATGCATTTCTCCAACTATATCTCAGGATCATAGCTTAAAAAATGGGGTAGGTGCGGTTTACTTATTATATCAATTTTGCATCTTGATACATTTTATTTTATATTAAAATTTCATTGATCAGCTTACGTCATTCAGTGATAATGATAAATTTGTAGCTTGCCAAGACGAAAGCTGTACGAAAGGTACAACTACAAGATGACTTCAATCCAGAACTGGAGCCACTGCTCCAGGAAGGTCCAAATCGCTTTGTAATGTTCCCTATTCAGTATCCTGACATCTGGGATATGTACAAAAAAGCTGTAGCCTCCTTTTGGACTATAGAAGAAGTACCTCTTCACAAGGTATAAGCTCTTAATCTATAACATATTTTTTTTCTAAAGATTAAAAAATATACAGTTTGAAAATTTAGCATATTTAATAGCTATAATAATAATAATAAATTTTTCAATAGAAATAGACTTTAATAAATATTTTGTATTTCTAACAATGAATTCTTGTAATTTTTACAGCTGGACAAGAAAGAGTGGGATGAAAAGCTAAATTCTGACGAGAAATATTTTATCTCTCATGTCTTGGCATTTTTCGCCGCTTCTGACGGTATTGTTAATGAAAATTTAATTGAAAGATTCAGTCAGGAAGTGAAAATCACTGAAGCACGTTGTTTCTACGGCTTTCAAATTGCCATAGAAAATATCCATTCTGAGATGTATTCTTTGCTCATTGAAACTTATATTTCCAATCCGAAAGAAAAGTGAGTGAAATTTATATTTGACATGTACTTTCTCACACACACACACACAAAATTTGTATATTTTATATTTACCTGTATTGAATTTGTATTTATATTTCAATTACGTATGTATTATTACATAAACTACATTGACGACTCTTTTTCAGAGATTTTCTATTTAATGCGATCGAGACACTTCCTTGTGTGGGGAAGAAGGCCAATTGGGCATTAAACTGGATCAATCACGAGAGCGCTACATTTCCTGAACGTATAATCGCGTTCGCGGCGGTCGAGGGTATATTCTTCAGCGGCAGTTTCGCAGCGATTTTTTGGCTGAAGAAACGTGGAGTCATGCCAGGTCTCACCTTTAGCAACGAACTTATCTCGCGAGACGAAGTCAGTAAATTAGCTTTAATGTTTTTTTTTACATCAACTGTATTTACATTAAGTTAATTTATTTAATAAATTGTTTTCTTTTTTGCTTTTAGGGATTACACTGCGATTTCGCGTGTTTATTGTTTAAACATATTGTACAAAAGCCGTCGTTCGAGCGTGTGAAATCGATCATAATGGACGCTGTAGAGATTGAAAAGGAATTTTTGACGCAGGCGTTGCCGGTTCAACTGATAGGAATGAATTGCACACTCATGTGTAACTATATCGAATTCGTTGCGGACAGATTGTTCGTTGCGTTAGGATTTGAAAAAGTAATGTATAAAAAATTTTATTTTAATATTTTCATATTTATATTTTACATAATAATCCTGATAATTGTAACAAAGTTTTAAATCTTATTTTAATTGTATTTATTAAAATTAATTAATTGTACTTATTAAAAGGTGTGGAATAATATCGTGATAATTTTAGGTTTACAATTCAGAGAATCCATTCTCGTTCATGAATTTCATCTCCATGGAGGGCAAGACAAATTTCTTCGAAAAGAAAGTAGGCGAGTACAAGAAATTTGGAGTCGTGGAGGAAAGTTCTCAAAAGAAGAACAACATGTCGAATATGGAGTTTGGAGCAAATTTTTAATATAAAGGTTTGACTGTACAAATATTATAAAACAAACAAAAAATGTTACATGTGCTCTCCGAAAATAGTGAAAAAAAGAACTGATAATCTCCGTGACTTTGAAATAATTTTATAATAACGATAAATTTTAATTTAAAAAAATATTTTTGACAAGTATTCGCGAGACGAAAAAAATGTTTGTATAGTTTTTATAGAAAAAATGTTTGTATAGTTTTTATAGAATATATTGTAAATTGACGGCATCAATAAGAAAGATATTGTAAACGCATTTCTGCATATTTTCAGTTACAATCGTAATTTCTAAAATGCTATTTTATCAATGGTATGTTTCAGCAAAATATAACTTTAATCTACCAAGTTTTTTAATATAATTTTTATATTAAATTCTTATTGTAACCGATAAATTTTCAGAAAGAAAAAATTACTGTACAAACAGTTCTAAAAAGTAATTTTGCGATTAGAATGTTTTTTTTCATGATGCCATCGAATTGATTGACAAAATTTTTTTAAGAAGCAAATCGTATTTGCCGGAATCTTTAATGTACAGAATCTTCTTTTAATTTATTATATAAAAGACTAATCGCAATATTTGACACTTTCGGAAAATCTTTTTACAATTTGATCACGACTAATTTTACAATTGAACAAAGTCAATGAAATAATCACACGTTATCATATTATATTCATTTTTCATGAAAAAGATGTACGGTAAAAGTTTCTCTCATATTAACTGTACTTAATTTTATTGATGATTGGACATATAAAAAAAATACTACATAAGTTTGAATAAATAATTAGATGTAAGTGCAAACTTTCGATTAGGTTGAAACTTAAAGTTGCTACTACGTAAAACAGTATTTGTATAGATAAGTCTTTGCATATATGTGTGGCAATAAAAGCTGATTAAGAAAAAGTTTTCTTTAAATTTTTATTATGATAGTTTTGAGGATTCTGGGAACGAAAAAGAGCTTGACAAAAAGATAAAAAAAATAGGACGAGATACATAGAAGTGGAAGAATTAAAACAGATGTTTTATTTAAAGATAAATATATTTATAAAATTAATATGTTGAAAAAGAAATTGTAGAGCTGTTTTACAATTCATTTGCAGATTATCATACGTAATGTAACATATTCAATAATATAAATTGGTAACTTTTATATAATAGTTCAATGAAAGATAAATATAAAAAATATTTATTCTTGTGGAAGCTCATAAATATGTATGAGATTACCACAGAAAAGGTGTTTCAAAGCCTTTCTGCAATTTATCGAGGTACTGTTTGCGGCATTCCATGCCTTCGGCCGGTCTATTGTATGGCTGCCAAACTGGCTCTCCCACAAAGTATCTCTTTGCTTTTACATAATTCTAAAAGAATTTCCTTAGAAATTAGAGATCCATTTAAGATTTATTAGAAATCAGAAATTTAATTTAAAGAATTTACACTGAATATAGAGATTTGTTTAGTGTTTATTGAAAAAGGAAAAGAAGTTTTCTTTACGTGTTTAAAAAGAGATTTAATAAAAAAAGGGAGATAAAACGTGTGTACCGAAGAATCAGTCATGGATAGAAGAATGCACTTGTAAATGTTCTTACGTTAGTGTCCAGAGTGAAGCGATGATAAATCCCACTGGGTATGATTATCAGATCACCGGCCGTCACTTCAATCCGGATCCATTGATCATTCTTGTCCCGTACGTCGAAGTAGCCCGAGCCATCCAGAACCAGACGTATCTCCTCGTCAGTGTGGAGATGTTCGGTGAAGAAGTTTTTTAACTGAAATTTAAATTTGGACGGAGAGATGTTAATATAATTTCTGATAAAATGAAGGAAATATATTAAACATCTGGAAATATATGGAAGTAAACCTTCTCTTCATAGTTTTGTAAACATTCTTTGGAGCATGTTATTTCATCTTCGTACGTATAACCGCGTTCCTCACGTAATTTCTTCAAAGTAGCATCCGTCTCGTAATTTCGATAATTTACCTGTAAAAGATAGAATTCTATATATAATAATAAGTACAATAAATTACTTGTAAAATTCTATTCGCTATACGGATGAACGTAATAATTTATAAGATTAATTTTTGATGCATTTTTTGTAATTTTTTAATACGGGCTGATTAAATTTAAGAGTTGCCAAATGCTAAACTGAACACTTATGATCTCTGACTTATAATTTCTAATTATCCTAATTTCTTTTTTTTATCATCTTTAATCTCATTTAATTATTATCACTCTCATGTTCTAAGTTATCACTACATTTCTTCTTTATCATGGATAGATAGAAATTAAGACAGATAATTTTTAAGTCTTGTTGTTGGTAATTCTGGTGACAAAGGTTAATCGGCTATCAAGTTGACCAGTGTGTATAAGTATATGCGAGACCGACACACTGGACACTGAATTTAAAAATAATAAGGTTGAATTATAGCACTTATATAAAAAAAAAATTGTTCCGAACAAGATATAGAAACGTAAAAAAAGAGATATATGTTTATAATAGTGCTCTATTACAAACTTCTACATTTTTCTTACGCTTTTATATCTTGTTTTTTATAGGTCTACAATTTTTGCCCATTAGTTAACCACAATCTCTTCCCTACCTGTCCATATGGAAAGAAAACGACGAAAGACGCGGACACATTATATATCTAATATAATAATGTAGGTATAAGAATGAAGTGATATCTGTCAGATTCGTCTATACATGTCAAATTCGTTTCAGCATTTGGCTCCAATTACAGTCAGCTGATCGTGTTGAGAAAAAGTTCGCGAGAAGTATGTATCATGCCGTGTCAGTCGCACGTGTTTTCAAAACGCACGGCACAAGCAGAGACGAAGACGGCATCGTCGAGATGCCCGCTAGATCGGGCAAAATCAAAACGTTCGCAAACGCGGATCGCGAAAGACGGCGGTGTTTAAAACCTCAAAATACTCCACGCCCGTCGTGGCGAACAGGTTATCCAGCGACACGAATTCCGGTGGCTGTTTATGATGCTCCAATCTCTGATCGGCATCGCTGCTGTCCATGTACCAGGCGCGTACCATAGCGTCTCGTTCAAACAATAACAATAACAAGAAAAAAATTCGATGTTACTCCGAACAGTCCGAACGACGATGAGAAAATGGAGACCTGATTTTCTGCGTTTTAATCTGGCAGTGTGTGACGCAGTAATTGTCACCAATTTACAACGGCTTACCACTCAACGATAAGAAATTACGAGACGTACGAAGAATTTATCACGAGATATTTATTGGAATTGTTTGTGACGACGAAGGAGACAAATTTTGAATAACAATTAAAGGATCCTTAAAGATAAAATATTAGTAAGTTAAAATTTTTATTACGTGCGTGCTGTTATTGCAAAAACATGGAGCATGGACTCTGTGCCATCTGTGTGTAAAATTGATCGAAAAAAAAAATGGAAGAGATAGGACGTGAGATGATCAGTTTCTATCTCTTTCTATTCAGCGGTATGAAAGAGAACAAGTGGCAGATTGGCCGTCTTCATGTTCTTTTCCTCTCATTTTTGACGACCACATTATGGTACACGGATGGCGCAGTCCATACTCCATATCTTTAGTCCCTATATCTTTATAGGATTTTTATATTATAAATTCATGTAATATTATATTTATTTATTATTTGAATTCTGTTAATTTAACTTTGTCACTATTTAAATATTAAAACTTTAGAAATAGAGATAACGAAAAAAAATTCGTTTCAGCTTAAATTCTTTATCCTAATAACTATATTTTATTCTATTATAACAATTTTATAATTATTTTAAAAGTTATGTATATACAGTCACGAGCAAAATTTTTCTTTCTTTTAATTTCAATTTTAGACAATTACTTTAATGAAATTATCAATTAAAAAAAATTAAGAGTCATACACATTTAATAACATTGTAACATATATTTTGTCTTATAATATTCATATTATTTTATACCATTTATTCTTTAATATTACACAAAGATTGTATTATAATACTTGCATACACTGTTTTATATAATATCGCTTTCTTTTTTTAATTATTTTATCAGGTTTTGCTCAAGATGGATAAAATGATAATTATAATGTTTTCTCACGGCATAAAAACTCACTTAGAACAAGAGGAACAAGTGAGTGGACAATTAAAATATCTCTCAACCCGACATACAGAGTTGGAATCGAGTTCCATTGACAGAGTAACAGACGTTGTTACCAATTTTATTCGAAACCAAGAGAGTCCAGCATATAACGGAATGTATAACATTAAGATATTTACTGAAGACAGTAATTTTGAGAGGCAAAATATCCGGCTGTTCGCCACGTTTTACAATTATTTTCTTTTGAATACGAATTTTTCCACGCAGAATCTTCTCAGCAACGACATGATATTCGGCAAAATAGTCGGTTTGTGGCCTACTCTGTCACCTTATCTCTTCATACAGGTGATTCATATATTAGTAAAATTTATATCTTAATAAGAATTATTAATTAATAATTGATATTAATTTTTTAATCATGGACTGCAGATATATTGAACATGAATATATTGAATATTTTTTTAATACTATATTTGATTTCTTCCTTTTTCTAAAATCCGTGCGCGTATGGGATACAATTATTTAGATTTTGATATTGATGTTGATAGTGTGTAGATGCTCGAAATATTATATTATCTGCGGTTTTTTTTCTATTAGCATAATTTCATTTTGACATAGCTTACAAGCATTGATATCATTAAGAAGATCTCATTTATTTTATCATTCAGCTCCATACAGTTTGCATCGTTAACGAGATAATCGAATCATGTATTGCAATTTTCATTTACTTTGAGTGTTAATTTGAATTGATACATCCCGTCGTCTCTAGTTAAATAATAATGTATGGTGATGTAACAATAAATATAGATCAAATAACCATTTATTTAAATTCTGTAGCAGTAAGAGAAAAATTATATCGATTAATAAAGATGTAATGCAATTATATTCGATTATTTTATACGTATGTACTTACAAAAATGCGTACGCGTGTGTACATGTATATATTAATATGCACACACGCATATGTATAAATACATATATAAGAAATAATTTTATATTTATATATAATGCACATATTGTTACGCGCATACTTTATATTATTGTTTATGAAATTATAATGTATTGTTATTATTATATAATAATCTATTTTATTTTCATATATTCTATATAGATAATATGGCACTTGAAGTGCGAGGACTTGTTGATTGAATCGTTTACGCACATACCATTGGATGTATGTGCAGAAATCTTGGAGATAATAATCACACACATACATGAACTGTCAATTCGACGAGCTAGACGCCTTATGTTCCTCCTGATCTATAAAATATACAATAAATGCCTGTGGTTGCATTTAGGCACTGTGTCAGAACAAAATGTAAAAATGCGCGTCGACCAATTAATAACGTACTTTGAAGTAATGCTAGACACGCTTAGCAGTTCCAACTTTGTTACTTTCCGTTCGTCACTCAAGAAATACTTTCAACATGGTATTTTACTGAAGAACATACTTCACTATATCAAGAAATGTATGCACAGCCAAATTAAAAGTTATTCGGAGAATCATAATCTAGTAAAACTATTCAGGCTTACGTACGGTAAGTTCAATGGCTGTATGAATTGTTATCACAAGCTTCCTGCCAACGAAGTAAAATCCATTATAACAAGATTAAACCAGAAGCTGATCGCTTGGCTTCTGAATCAGATCAAGGACGTTGAATATTCTGAATTCATAGCCTGGGGAAACGTTAATGATAATGAAAACACTATGATGTCGCTGCAACGTGCTATTATCTTGGAATACCACTGTTTTATGGAGTTTATGAAGCAGAATAAATTTTTGACGATAAACGAAGATTTGCCTCGTTATCTGGAGAGATTTGTATGTCCAAGAAAACCCGAAGAGTCTATCTTAACTCTTCGAGAACTCTGTCACGAGATCGCCAGAGGCAAACGGTACGGTGTGAAAGAATTGATTAAACGTTATAAAGAGTGGGACCTGTCTATATTGAATTTTATCAACGAAAACGAAAGAATAGAATCTTTTAGAATTAATGAAATTTATGTTGTACTTGAATATCTTCATTATTCATTCACATATCTGCATACAAGGACAGAAAAGTATCGGACGTACGTGTCGGTATTGAAAATATTAATTCAGCTAACAGTGAAGGACATGCATAGTACTGTACAAAATTATGTGGAGCAGCACTTTGATGACAATCCTTTAGAAAATCTGTACGATGAAAGATGTTTCGTGGAATTCGTAGAGAATATTTCGAGAAATGAAACTATTGACATCGATGATTCGGTTATAACTCAAGAATTGCGTACTTTATTGATATTTATTCTGTTAAACCCGAAGGATGTTTTAAGTAAATGTGTGATGTATGAAATAGCCAATGAATTCTCCGATTTTATGTTCCGGGCCAACATGTCATTAATGCGATCGTATTACTGTCTGACGTGGAAACAGAACAATCTGCTGGTGTATATACTGAAGGACATACTTTTCCAACAGCGCGTAGTATTGTGTGATCGTTTTAAAGATTTTCTGGAGAGAGCGATGGACTTACAGGTGATGTACAATTTTTAAATAAAATAATCATTATAGGGCTGAATTTTTATCAGTTTCGTTAAATTTCGATTTTATCGCGTTATTCTTTATTCATACTATAATATATAAATTCTGCAATTGTTATCGATGTAACAGAATGAGACCGTTTAAAACAAATTAGTTAAATATCTTCAAGGAAATAAGTTTTAAAAAACTTATGCACGAAATTTTCGTAGCCTTAAAAATTTTAAAAAAAGTTATGATATGTGCATATTTTCCTTTTCAAAATATTTACATGTAAAATGCGAAATATTTATATCTAAGCAATTTTTTTATAAAACTTTTGAAAACATTCATTTAAAATCTATTTTGTAAAATATTTCTGCAAGTTATAATTTATCTCTATAATCATTATTTTTCGACAGACTTTTTTTCTATTAAAATATATACTTCATATAATATTTCATACATCTACTGTTTAATATTAATTATCCTTGTGAATTACATGAATTATGTGAAGTTTATTATTTGTAATTATCAAAGACAATTTTACAAAGAAATTTTATTATCTAAATAATTGAAATCTGATGAAAAAAAATCGTATTTGCCAATCAATAATGAATTGCAAATTGTTTTTTTTTAGCATTATTCAAATTAGATTTTATTAGACTGTACTATATTAGCACTGATTAAAACCTGCATAATAGTCATTTTTTAATCCTTTTCTTCATTAATTTTTATTTTATTAAAATTCCATTTTAATTTTTTTTCTAAATTCTTTTTATAGATGATAACTGCGGACGATATACTTAACGAACTTTATGTTAATTACCTAGTTAGTAATGATTGCAAGCTGAACACCATGTATGTTATATTACAACATGTGTTCACTATCGTGTATAGACAACTTTACTCGTTCAGAACTCAATTTGAACCGCTAATAACAGCATTGCTGAGAACGCTGTCACATTTAAGGAGATGCAACAAAACGTTTCCAAGAATCATGTTAATTAATCAGATAGAGCTTATAAATAAAATACTGGAGCATTTGTACTTATTGAAAGTATTGACAGATGAGCAGCGCTATATAATGCACTTAAACGGCGTGGAGCCGCTTGAGATGAATAAGATATGGCCTACTATGACTGCGTTGGAAATAATCGAGCAATACGAGGCACGTTGCAATAAAGTTTATAAACAATTGCGCAAGGACCCGCGATGCCATCCTAAATTGCGCAAATATGTGCAATCCTTCAAGCTCGATAAAGAGGCTATTATACGTCACATAATAATGAACGCCATGGACGCGGAATATGTGGATTATGCGGGTAGATTTACATTGATATTCTTTTCCCAGTTGGGCTGGGCCAACGAGAAGATAGCTTTTGAAAACGTGATGCGTATCACAGCTGAGACGTCGCTAATTGCACTGATGTACATAGAAACGTTTTCCAAAAACACATTTCTTGTGTTGATAATTAATATGATAATATTTGCCGAATACATCGAACCCTACTTCATGCTCATCGACCGAGAGCTAGTCCGCCGCATACTGCTGGAGACTCTGTCCTCCATGAATCATGTTGTTAGCAGGACGCGCTATGGTTTTATGTACAATCACCTGCTCAAGCATATTCAAAAAGAAGATCTATCTTCACCGAGAGCGAAGTACTTCGTCGAGATTACCAATTGGACGTTTTTATTCTTGCAAACATTCATTCCTCGGACTTTGCCCCTAGACACAGATTGGTAAATCAATAACAATATATTCTTTTGAACTTAATTTTTAATTATAAAAATCTTTAGTACTTTCCTTTTATTTTTTTTATTTTACTTGCGGTCTTCATTTTTATGATTACCATGGTTATCATTGTTTATTTTTTAATTAAAAAAAACATAACAAAATTTTAATATTTCTATTATTAAAAGAATACGTATACATTCCAAAATAATACAGTTTTAAATAGTTTTCTGTTTATAGATGAGACAGATTTCGGGTTCGTAAACCGATGTAATTTTTTCTCTAATCAAACATCACCTTTATTTCCATTACTTTTTATTTTCTAATTTATAACTTACGGAGTGAAAGCAATTTAGCAACGCTAATAAAATTCCATTAAATTAGCAAATATCATTTTATTAACATTATATATAAAACATTAGAGTATTATTGAAAAAAACAAAATAGAGATTATTTTATCTGTAATTTCATAAGAACGTTAAAAAAAATGTACATAAATTTTATATGTATTTAAAATTATTATTAAGACGTTATAAAAAAGAATATATAGAATGTTATAGACAATATTTTAGAAAATAAAACATGCAATATGTATATATTTCAGCACTTGTGATAAAAATTCGTATTGTCAACATCACAGTTTCCTCATTGAAAACAACTTCGCAGCGAAGTATGACGCACACATGTTCATAACTGAATGCCTCAAGTTACCCATCACATTATCGACTACTGAGATATATCGTTGCTTTGATCGACTATTACGTAATTTATGCTCGGAGTAATAAAGTTAATTTCGATAAAGTATGGAAAAATATCTGCGTATACCGTATTTTGGGATAATTTATAAGGTAGAACATTATTGTCTTTTTTTACAATGTTTTAATCAAAATATATCTTATTTTCTTTTATGTACTAATTATATCTTAATAAAAGCATTTTGTAATGATGATTAATTGATTATCCTTTATTGCAAGAAATCAAAAAGAACTGATGAGTGCAAAACTTTTTTACTTTCTGTATAATAGCGATACTTGTTTTTTTTTCTGGACTATGCTTTATATTGATTATTCACATATTATTGCTCAAAAGTTTTAAAAATTCTATTAACAAAATTTTCTTAATAACTTGACAATTAATAACAAAAATATATCTTTTCTGTGTATTATTAGTTATTAATAAAATATTTATATTTATACTATATACATTTTTGTATATTCTACTAAAATACTATCTAATAATATATACAAATGTATATTTGTAATAAATTATATATATATGTATACATTTGTATATTCTAATAAAACAGTATCCAACAATATATCAAAATGTATATTCTACTAGAATATATCTATAAAATGCATGGCTCTTCTTTTTCTTCATTAGAAAAAGCAGATATATGTGTATAGTACGCACAGAAACTTTTTTCTTTTTTTTTTAATATGGCTCTTGAAAATTTTTGAGACTTTTAATTGACTTCTATTTCGCGAAATTCGCTTCCATAATTTTTCCATATTTTTCAAATTACTTATTATTTTATAATATTTTTATAGGCACTATGTATTTTTACAATGATTTTCCAATGTATCTGCAACAAACGTTGTAACAAAAATGCATATAATTTTATGCTCGGAGTAGTAAAGTTAATAAAATAATACACAATAAAATATAAAAGAAATAAAATATAAAAGAATTTTATTTTAAATATAAAGGAACAATAACAATAGCTACATCAAATCTTTTTCCTCAATCTTCCCATCATAGAAATATGATTACAATTATAATGAAATTATGATTAATTCTCTAATAAAAATTCCATATCTTTTTTTTAAATATATATCTATTTTTATATTCTGCACAAAGAGTAAATTGAAAAAACTATACGAACTAGCTGACAGATTCAAATTATTACGAGTGCAACAAGTTATAATACATTTCGACGACTTTATTTGCCGATCGTGATTTGACAGATTCTTTCGTTACTCTACCGCGAAACACATTATACGATTCGACTCTAGTCACGCACATACTTCAAAGCGATTATGCTTAAATCATATTTATAGATATAACTGTTCAATACCTGTTTAATAACTGTTTAATTGTAATTCTTTATGGTAAAAAAAGTATGGAACATATACATATAATAGTAAACAAGTCTTTTCAAGTGCTACAATGTCGGTAAGATGCGTATATTAATTGTATTGCATTATTTATTATCTCAAAATGTGAGTGCTATAATCGCATCGACCGACTAATCGTTCATAATACACGGGGGTTGCTTTGTGGTGGGAGACTATGTAGAGTTGCTTATACGAAAGATTAAATGGAATTTCAGTCACTCTCAAAGTCAACCGCATGCTGATCGCATGTGTTTTCAAAATACTTGACACAGGTGATTATTGATATTACGGAATCCGGTAAATTTGACGTCCGCAACGAAAATTTAAAAAATTGTCATATATCTCGTCATAAAATAGTCAACGGTTGTCGCTGCGAATAATTTATCCAAGCAAGTTTATCCAGCAAGTTTAATATGAATTCTGACGGCTGTCTGTGATATTTCAATCGTTGATCGTCACCGTTGCTCCATGTATATCAGGCATGTATCATAATCTCGTTCAAACAGCAACAAAAATCAACAAAAATCATCGCTCCGAATGTCGATAATGATGGAAATCAGATTTCTGCGATTTTAATCAGACAAAATGACGTAAGGAATTAGCCAATTATTGGCTAAGCATCTTTCATTAATGGAATCTGTATAGGATATACAAATTAATCGACAATTATTTGAAACGAAGCAAATTTTGAATAAGAAAAATCCCTTAAATACGAAATCTTGGTAAGCCTAAATTTGCGTGCTATGTTAGATTGAAAATCTTATGTTATTACTTGTTATTAGATTATATGCTGTTATTATCTATTTATTGTTATTTAAATATTCTTTAGAGAAAGAGAGAGAGAGAGAATCTGTTTTCTTATTTCTTCTGATAATTATGTTGTTCAACATGGACAATTTTATAATTATTAGAAAAAGTATGTTTGTATAATTATACATACATATTTTACGTATATTAATATGTATAATTAAGATAAAAAATGCAATTGTGTTTTAATGTAGAAAATCCGAAGTTGAAAGGTACTTGTATTTAGTTTTCTCCTCTTCTCTAGCAGTGGCTAATTAATTATAAAAAAAAAAGGAGATATATATGTGTATATATATATACCTATATATATATATATGTATATACAATATATATAGGGAGAAAAGGAAAATATGTGCAATTCTATTTATTATACTTGAAGCAAACAGCATTTTTTAGCCACTACTTTAATGAGATTCATTAGAAGTATCAATTAAAATAGGGGTACATATTAAATATTGTCTCATATTTTTTATCTTTTATTAAATATATAAAATATTGTCGCATATATTTTGACTTATACTATTATCATTTATTCTTTAATATTACATACATCTTGTATTATACTTTATATTTATTTTATGTGTATATAGTACTGATTATAAGTTTTAGCTTTTTAAGAATTATTTTTTGAATTATTTTATCTCAGATTTTTACTCAAGATGAACAGAATTATACATGATATTTATGAAAACATGAGTGAAATCTTATTTAATCAAGAGACATTATATGGACCATTGAAACGTTTCACTCTCCGACATACGAAAGACACCTGTTCCATTGACGAAATAATAAATAACGTTACCGGCTTTCTACGAAGCTGTTTTGAAGAACATCAGATTCAGGAATATGACATTATTAAGATATCCATTGAGGACAGCTGTAATGTCAAAAGATGTACTATTCCAATATTGGCTACGTGTTACAACTATTTGCTACTGAATACGAATTTTTCCCCGCAGTATCTTCTCAGGAAGGACATGATATTCGGTCATATAGTCGGTGAATGGCCTACTCTATCACCTTATCTCTTTATAGAGGTAATTCGTACATTAATTATTATATATTAAGAGAGATTATACAAGGATGAGTCAAAAATTATCCGCGCTTTTGTTTCTACAACTTTTTTCCATAAAAGTAGGTATTCAACAAATACATCATTTTTCTAGTCATAGTCTTCTTGCTTATCAATGCACTTGGTCCAGCGGTCCAAGCTTCTGTATTCTCTTCAAGAAGAAGGCTCGCTGGACCAAATGCATTGAAAAGCATGAAGGCTATGTACAAAAATGATGTACTTGTTGAAGTAGGGGTACTTTTATGGAAAAAATTGTGGACACAAAAGTGCGGATAATTTTTTACTTACCCTTGTATATAAGTGATTAACAAATAATATTAATAATATTAATTTTCTAACTACACTGCAAATGTATAGTAAACATATATAGAGTATACGTTAGGGCTGGTGATTTGCTTCGAAGACTTCGACATTCGAACTTCGAAGCTTCGAAAATTCAAAGCATTGGCATTAAAATCTTCGAATTCTTTCGAAATTTCGAAGTTTCGAATATTCGAAGTGAATAAAAAATAGACCTAGTATACGTCACACAATTGAATATTTTTAAATACGTATTTTATTTCTTTCATTTTCTTAGATTGGTATGTATGTTTGAAATTAGAGTTTTGATATTAGTGATGATACATATAAATATGATTTCTATGTTTACTGAGAATTATAAAGTTTTTTTTTTAGTCTAGAGTACTCCTTAAGTATTAACTTAAATTGACACATTTCTCTCGCGTCGTTTCTAGTTAAATAATAAAGCTATAGTTAATATAGCAGTATAAGTATATCAGATCATTTATTTAGTTTCTCTATCGATAAGAGAAAAATGATATTGAATAATAAAGACAGTTATATTTAATTATTTATAAATGCTACAAACATATACAGGCGCGCATGAGCGTACATCTATTCATATGCACATACAAATATACATATGAAAACTATGTCTTTAGATATAATCCAAATATTGCTATTTTATACTATTTACTATTCATAAGATTATGTATTATCATTATTAATTTATTTTATTTGTGTATTCTATGCAGATAATATGGCACTTGAAGTGCGAGGACTTATTAGTTGAATCGCTTATGCACATACCGTTGGATTTATGTGTAGAAATATTGGAGATAACAATCAAATACATAGATGAATTGCCAATCCCACGAGCTAGACGTCTTATTTTCCTTCTGATCTATAAAATATACAATAAATGCCTGCGGCTGCACTTAGGCATTCTGTCAGAACAGAATGTGACGAAACGCGTCAACCAATTAATAATGTATTTTGAAATATTACTAGACTTGCTTGTCAGTCCCAAATTTATTATTTCCCATCCATTATCCGAGAAGCAGCATGGTATTTTTGTGAAGAATATACTTTACTACATCAAGAAGTGCATGCATAACAAAATTAAAAATCACTCGGAAAACCATAATATAACGAAATTATTCAGGCTTACATACGGTAATAATTTTAATGAACATCCAAATTATCATCACATGCTTCCCGCCAAAGAGGTAAAGGCCATTATAATAAGATTGGAGCAGAAACTGGCCACTTTACTTTTGAACCAGATCAAACTCGTTGACTGTAACGAGTGCAAAGACTGGGAGAATATCGATGATGATGAGAACCCTGTGATCTCTCTACGTCGTGCTATTATCATCGAATGTCATTATCTTAGAGAATTCATGAAACAGAATGAATTTTTGGTGACAAACGAACAATTGTTTCTTTGCCTGGAGCGACTTATAGGTCTAAGAAAATCCGAGAAATCTATCTTAACTATTCAAGAACTTTGTCATGACATCGCCAAGGGCAAACTGCATGGTATGAAGGAATTGATTAAACGCTATAAAGAATGGGACCTGTCTACATTGGATTTTATCAACAAAAGGATAAAATTTTTGAGCACTGACGACATTTATGTTGTACTTGAATATCTTCATTATATATTCGCATATCTACATACAAAGGCAGAAAAGTATCGGATGTACGTGTCGGTATTGAAAATAATAATTCAGCTAACAGTAGAGGACATGGATTGTATTATACAAAA